AGGTGTGTGAATGAGGAAAAGAGGATAATGGAACCCGGAAGGTGGGTGAGATAAACACTTACCGGTAGTCGCCTAACTGCGCTGATTCCTGATCTGGCCGGTTACAAGTAGTTAGCGATCGGTGTGTTTTACCTACCTTTTAGCTTTACAGATTACCTGATACAATGACTTGGAGCCACGACTGTTGTATTACTTACTTGAGCAGCGGCTGCGCGTTATTATGCCGTTTATTACTGATCAGTTCCCTCAGAATACGCAAAGCTCTGTTAATCTTCGTCGGCTTCCTGTACGTTCCACTGTCAGCTACCAAATTTAGTCCGTTGAATGGAAGGATCTTGCGCCAAAATAATTTTTTTCAGAAGTTTTTTGGGAATAGACCGGGTTTCTCTGTTGCCATTTTTCTCTTTTTTGTTGGCTTTGGGTGATATTTTTTCCGCGTCAAGTATGCAGCCACTAGTCTCGACTGCCTGAATACCGGTTGGCCTATAGGCTACAGAGGACAGCTTTGGACACCTGGCTGTCCAGGTTATATGTTGTGTGTCTTCTAAGTAATCTAAAACTGTTACAACTCTGTCCTCAGTCCCTGGTTTGGGCAGCAACAGACCAGGACAGTTAAAAGCACGGACTGCCTATCCATGTGAGCAGTTTCTAGGTCAGTGTTCATCACAATGGGGCTGTGTTTTGACGACCGATCGTTCTGAACACGCCAGTAGTTTTAGCCAGCTAGTATTTCACTCGGATTGTGAATTCCGACGTGCTCAGATTCCCGGCACTCGAAAATAATCTTGGGGATGAGCTATCGTTGAGAAGAATTTCATTCGGGTCAAGGAGTGTTTCAAAACGGTCGCTGTCAGGTTTGTTTAGATGGATTCTGCCATCTCAGGGGTTGTCGTGAGCGCTGAGTTCGGTCATAAGGGACAGCAATGATTCACCTGTTCACTGGTCACCGTGGTCATTTAGGAAGAGGATGAGAAAAGGAAGCTTGCTTTTCATATTTAAA